CCTCTGAAATAGAACCTGTATAAGTTTTGGATATGGGATAGCGTGCAATGGCAACTGAGCGTAGCCATTTTCTTGTCCGGAGTTGTTGAATTCCAGCTCCACTCCGGCTGGAATTCAAAAACTGAGTTTATTGCTCAAATGAGATCAAGTGCAGTGTTGAGGTTTGTTTGCGCCTCTCAACCTAATTTCTGGATTTTTACGTGGGGTCCACCCCAACAGAAATTCTAACACGGGTTGAATCTGGCTACATCTTGTTTACTGTTGTATATTAACCCTCCTGGCTCTTTTGAAACCACATACGCGACAATGTAGAATTCGTTTGTCAAGAAATTCAAACTGATCTCAGGCCAGTTCTCTTAAAGACTAGTCTAATTATGAACTCAATTTACTCCATTTACACATTTTTATTGAAGTTGCGACACAAAAATCGATAATCGAAGGATTCTGTGAGAAGTTTGCTACGGACAAAGTATCACCGGGTCTAGAAAAATTGATGTCTTCACTGAGAAAATTAAAGGTAAGCCGTCGACTTTTTGCTTTGTCTACGCGTTCTTGGCCTTGGATCACCATGGTAAAGAACGTGATCACAAATAAAATGGTTTACGGGCGATTCACTTCGCATCAGGCGGTAGTCGAATTCGTGTTGAAGCGTAAGGTACGGATTCGATTCCTGTGTGGGGCGGATCGTGCCCGTAACCCAGCATCCTTGTGATAAGTGAAGGAAGGTTTTTGCACGCTTACGTTATTGCAAATATCCTTTCTTTACATATTTGATTCAGATCGATGAAGAGGCTTCATTTACTTCCGTCAAGAAAGGACTCGAACAGACAACTGTCGACATCAACAACAATATTCAAACTAGAGGTTTGGAGGAACTCTGAGTCCACACAACACGTGGGTGATTTGTCCTTATTCACTGAAGTTTCATTGCACTGTTCCAGACGATCTTCTCCGTTCTATTGCCCAGGCTGAAGCTCAATGTGATATAACTCGTAAATGTTTAGAAAATGAGAAAGAGTATGTGCACCTACAAACTGTATGTTGGCTTGTTTGTTCATTTTCCCTAAGTGAAGAACCTTTTCTATCACGGTTTTAGCTCAGAATCGCAGAAAATGAAAAGGAACTTGATATTCTGAGGAAAAAGAAGGATGAAGCGATTATGAAAGTCACTCTAGCGAATTGTATTCTCGAAAAATTACGTACTTCCGATGCTGCGGAGAAACTCCTGGCGCTGGTGAATGAGGTGAGTGAGTACAGGAATTGATAGCTGCATAAGATAGGTGTCGAGAATCGACTTCGTTATCGAAGGCTGGCGTCAGAGTTCGCGCGCGAAGGATCTCGTGCTCTGACACCAGTCTTACTGCCAGTGGAGGTCATCAAGTTGTACCGGCCTTGCAATGTTGTGTACACCGTTGGGTACACATATACCCTCCAAATCTGTTTACATATTTTCGAACGGAGTTAGGCTGTTGTCAGAGTCCGCCTTCCGTCGCGCGATCCGCACGAATGGTGCGACGGATCGCGGACACTGACACCAGCCTGAACCGCGATCGCAGTCGCATGAGGGGCGGAGCGCGATGTGGGTCCCTCAAGCTTTTCATGCCTACTACTTGTGTGACGATTGAATATATGCAGTGGATCTGAGAATTAGATTACTGTTTTCAATAGGATTGGAGGACTACTATAGAAGAGTGAAAGCAATCGTTCCAATATTAACGTTTTAGATTTTTTTTTCATTTTTTCACAGCTCACAATGAAAAATGGATAGATTGCGTCCTAGTGTTTTGAGCAGCACAAAATTAATGAGGACTACTTATTACTGCTGCAGATAGCTGTCCTCTAACATTGCGCAATACATGGAACATGTGTGCTTAAAAAATTATTCTCACCTCTTCTTAGAAATCCGTAAGAGGGTGTGTGCCTCAATTTTCCCCTTTGTTTTTTTTTACTGTAAATGATCTTTTAAGAACTTTATTCACAAATCGAACTTTTATCGAGCGATTCCCTTTCGTCCCTAACTGTACTTTTTGTTCATTTTCAGACCAAGAGTGTGGATGAAAGGCTGTCGCAGCTTCGTGACGATCGCTCTGCATTTGAGGAGCAGAGAAGAGCTGAAGAACTGACTTGGCAGAGAGAGATAACTATCAAAAAGGTGAGCAGTGATATATAAGTCAACGAAGGGAGTAGTATGAGCGAGCTCATTCCTTCACCTTATTGTTATGCAAAATCTCCAGTTGAAATGCAAGCGCTTTACTAATTTGGAGGTTTGTGCAATGCAGAACATCAACTGTTGCCTATTCGATGGAAAGCCTCTGCCCTCGATTGCCAATCCCAAACAAGTCATTACTGTACGGAAGGAACGCCATTCAATTGCGCCGCATCTGAATGTTCACCTCATCGTGGCAGCACTGCTCCATGGACGTGCTTAGATAGTATTGTTTAGTTCAGGTGTATGTCAATAGAATCGTCCTGATCCCCGCGCTACTGGTCGTGGCCGCGACGTCGCAACTGCAGTGGAAGAGCTTCTGTGAGCGCCATTTGAATGTGATGTTACGGTGGGACGCGGAGCAGGCCCGGTCCTTTAATTATTTCAACCAATTCAACACCTCCAAGGCTCGAATTCAAAAATCCTGCGCTCTCTGGAATCGCCGCCTCGCGACGCCGCACAGGTGGCCACACGCGGCGGCGCGATGACCGGACGATCCTGTTGACGGTTCCCCGCCCAGTTCCCATTGATAGCAACGGTGTGTTTATCACTAAGAATTTTCAAATTATTCAGCGACAGCATGGTTAGAGGCAGTAGGCTGTATCATGTGATACATATTATCGCGCTGGATAGTAAGGTAAATGGTGATGTCGAGGGATTATAAGTGATCTGATAGCGGGATTTGGAAAAGAGTGGCAGGCATAACAAGATAATCGAAAACATCCTAAAAGGTTATCTGTGTGAGAAAGCTGCAGCCTGGAGACGTAGGACTCTGTAGAAGTTAGACTCGAAGGTGAACAGTAGCGTCACGGTGAGGGACGCACTGCAAGGGATAGGCTGAGGCTGATCGTTAAGAGTAAAGTAAAGTGTCACAGTAAAGTGTGCATAGTTGGGGTAGGCGTGTCACCGGAAGTGACTACACTTGATAGAAGTTGCGTGGATAAGGCTGCTTTCATAGTCTGCGCCGTCCGTGTACGCCCTCCGCACAGCCCGTGCGGTCCGCACGAACCGTGCGGACGGCGTTGGCAGACGGCGCAGACTATGAAAGCAGCCTAAGCTGTTGCCAGCATGCTTTGCTGATATCCAGCGATGTATGTTGGAAGCAGCTTATCCACATAGCTTCTATCAAGTGCACGTCACTTCCGGTGACACGCCCACCCCAACTCTCAGATAAGGAATCAAGATAGCCGCCGCTGTCGTAAGAGGAGGAGGCATCTCTATGCATAGAGACCAGTGCATTCATTTAAAACATAACCATCACTTTCTTTCGATAAAAGGCATAGAAGAACTGGCAATGATCTACATGAACGCTGTTAACTTTATTAGCCGCTGAGCTGAAGATGCCACGCGCCGGTTCGATAGGAAGGGTCCCTAGGGGACTATGTTTTGAAGGATGTGAGGAGCCTCGAGGAACAGGGAAATTATGTAGCACCCTACAATCTTCTCCCCCTCTACCAAGATTTAGTCCCGAAACTAAGCAG